ACACTAACAGAGCTCCTATGCCATATATTAGGGCCCCTAAATCTTCCTAGGAGCTCTGGTGACATAGTGCCTAAGTCACTTGACACTAACCAGAAGACTGACAGCTCAAACCCACCAGCCACTCCTTGGAAGGAAGATGGGGCAATCTACTTCCGTAGTGATACTGCCTCGGAAACCCAAGGAGGGGTCACTATGAGTCAGATCCGACTCAATAGCACATAACAACAACAACAACAACAATCTTATATATTGTAGTAAAAATAGCAATCATTACAAACAGCATATAGGCATGAGACAAAAAAAATAAGAGAAAAGGGAAGGGCAAGTAAGATTTCCCTTTCCCCAGATTTTCCTGTTAATTTATACTATATGAATAACTTGAACACATTACCTCATTTGATTTTCAGAAAAACCCTATATGTTTCTATTCCCAATTTAAAGAAGGGAAACTAAATTTTAATGAAGTAAATTAATGAGCAAGTAATAGATGGCCTTAGCTGCCCTTCAGGTCTGGAATTGAACACACACCTGTAGCTTCCAGCCAAGCAGTACATTTACCTGAGGTAGATACACTCCTTGGAAAGAACAAGCAAGAGAGAAAGAAGGGCTGCTCAGGCACAGGGAGACAGCTCAGGGGGTAGAAGTGCGTGGAGGGATGGTCACAGGGAAGTGGTACCTATCGGGAGGAAGTGGGAGAGGAGATGTTGCATTGTGCTAAATTGTGGTCAATGTCATGAGACAAAGTATATGTGATCTGCTGTACGGAAAGTGTATTTGCTCTGTAAATTTTCACCCAAATCACAATAAAAATAAAAATTTTAAAAAAAAGTCATAGATGGCAGAGATAGGGCTTGAATGCAAGCCTTCTGGGTCCAAGAGTTCTTTTACCATCCCCTATAGAGCCCAAATCATAGTTTCAGATATAAGCACCCTTAGGCTTCAGATATTCAGAGGTTAGAAAATTTTTCTGTAAAGGACCAGAGATTAAATACTGTATAGCCTAACAGGCCACAGAGCCTCTGTGGTAACTACTTCACTCTGCACAGGTAGTCTACAGCAGGGATAGATGATAGGTAAATGAACAGGCATGGCTGTGTTCCAATTAAACTTTATTTTAAAAAACAAGCAGTGAGCCAGATTTGGCACCTGGGTTGCATTTTGCTGACCCCTGATTGTAACTGATAATGATGAAAAAGCTTTACTCCTTAAAGTTAATTTGAATAATATACCTCTTTTTCAAACAAATATTTGAGAAAATAATCATCATCATTTTTGCAACAACCTGTCCCATTTGCCATAAACACCAAACTATAGTGACTCAACAGTCTCAGTGAAGCATATAATACTGATTACAGTTTTGCCTTCAATTATTCCCATACCTTAATTATTAATTACATACAGTTAGCTCCCAAGTCTATATCCCTAGCCCAGTTCTCTCTGCTGACAATAAATACTATTTAGTATCTCTACTTGGATGTTTTTCAGGAAACCCTAAATTTAATACATATAAAAGTGAAGGGGTCATGTTCTCTCTCACCTCCAGGTCTTTGCATATGCCTCTGCATCTTCACTCTTCTTCTAGCTCAGATCTCACCTTAAAGGTCACTTTCTCCATAATATTCAAAACTGAGATAACTACCCTCATACATGCAGCTATACCACAATATACTTATGTTTATCATTAAAATTTCAAATTGTATTGTATTTTCAACTTACTACCTTGTTTCCTCCACTAGGCTATAAGTTCCCTAAAAGTAGCATCTGTATTTTATTCAGTGTTCTATCCAATGTTTAACACTACGCCTGACATATAGGTGAAACTCAATAAATACGTGTTGAATAAATGTTGAATCCTACCAGCAAACAGCTTCTTAAGATGTGACTGAATCACTGATGGGTTAGTAGACTGTCCCAGTATTTCTAACAGGTCATCATCACCAATAAAATAAAATCTTGGGAATGCTGAGCGTTTTTCCTAATGAATATAAAAAGAATAGTCTTAACTTTTCAAATAAAGGCATTAAATGCTTCATACTGTATTACATAAAAATTAAAAAAAGAAAAAACATGCCTCCAAAAATTCATTTAATGATTTCTGACATCTCTGAAGCTGATCAAGTATAGTTAGTAGAGAATTCCTGATTCCTGCATGACTAGTTAATGTTGTTACTCTATTGTCTCTCCTGATGTCACTCATTATTGACCTATGGAAGAAAAGAAAAATTATTTTCATATTTGTTTGAGACAGAGAGTAAGACTAATTTATTTTGGGCCTATTCAACCAATTTACCTGAGGTAACACTGTTATAATAGTATCACTATGTTTCTATAAAGTAATGAAAGATATTAACCATATTTTATTACCATTTATAACTTAACAACCATATTGCAAATTCTCTTATTTCATTCATTTACTAAATAAATATTTATTAAGCCCTACTCATAAAGCTAATGGTCTGAAGAAAAGAAAAGGAAAAAAAAAAAAATCTCACTATTATCAAGTCGATTATGACTCACAGCGACCCCTCCTTGGATTTCCAAGGTGGTAACTTTATGGAAGTGGATTGCCCAACCTTCCTTCCAATGAGTGGCTGGTGGGTTTGAATGACCAGTCTTCTGGTTAGCAGTCAAATGCCTTAGGCACTATGCCACCAGACAAGTAATTTTGCAATAAAATGCTTAAATAAAATTATGATTAATGTTAAGAAAGAAAATTACCAAGCATTGAGAAACAGGCTAATATGGTAACTCTTAACCTAAGACTTCCTTGAGGAATTTAAACTTAAAGCTGAGTAGAAAAAAAATTTAAAAAAAACAAGTCAGTGAGTACCTAAGGAAGAAAAGAGTTCTTAGAAAAGATGCTGGGAAAGACCTTAGCATGTTTCATCAGCTAAAGGCTAGATGGACAAAGCAATAAAGAGAATAACTTAAGAAAACGATAGAGTTCTGGTAAGATGGTGGAATAGGCAGAAAGACTGCACAGAACCTCTTCAACAAAGAAAAGGGGAACCAATTAACACAGATACAGAAGATAATCCTGGACTCCTGAGCTCTGAAGGGAAAGATACAGAAGTGGACTAAACTCCAACTAGCAGAAGAATTTGCATGAAAACACCAAAAAAGGACACATACGGAGCTATGGTCTGGCAGCAAACTTGATGGCACAGACAACTTAGACGTTGCTGAGTGGTGGTGGTGTTGTTGCTGTTAGGCACTGTTGAGTCGTTTCCGACTCATAGCGACCCCATGCACAGCACAATGAAACATGCCTGATCCCACACCAGCTCCAAGATCCCTGCTATACTTGAGCCCATCATCGCAGCCACCATGTCAATCCATCTCGTTGAAGGCCTCCCCCTCCTTCATTGACCCTTCACCCTACCAAGCATGACATCCTTCTCCAGGGAATGGTCCCTTCTGACAACATGACCAAAATAGGTGAGACGAAGTCTGGTCATTCTCATTTCCAAGGAGCATTTCAGGTGCACTTCCTCCAGGACAGATCTGTTAGTCCTTTTAGCAGTCCATGGTACTTTCAGCATTCTTCACCAGCACCACAACTCAAAAGCATCAACTCTTCTTCGGTCTTCCTTATTCACTGTCCAGCTCTCACATGCATATGAGGTGATTGGAAATATCATGGCTTGTGTCAGGCGCACCTTAGTCCTCAAGGAGACATCCTTGCTTGAGTGGTGGTAGGACCTAAGAATTAACCTAAAAAATCAGCCCTGCTAGCCAGACTGCATGGAGTACTGCTCTGGTGGCTCGTGAATAAGAGGGGAAGCAGCAACAAGGAAGGCGGGCTGAGCTCTGAAATTTTTTTTTTTTTTTTTTAGCTCTGTACTTCCACCTATCCAGAGGGTGAAGCCATTTTGAATGTTTACAAGCAGCTTGACCATTTTGGATATTTAAAGCAGCAACATTCTCCCAGATTCCAGGGACTTAGGAACAGGCTCCACTTGCCAGGAATAATAAGGACATTCCAGACACCAACGACTGGAAGGGTGTGACATTCCCCTTATTACTCTTATACCCCACACCCTCTTGGTAAATGAAGGTGTGGCCATCCCTCACTCCCACCTTCTAGGCCTGCAGGAATTCAATCTCAGTCTGTATGCTCGGCTGGAGCCTGGGTGCCCTGCCCCTCCCTGCCCCAATTTTTTTCCTTTTTCTTTTTTTTAGTTTGTCTGATTTTGTCTGTTGTAAAACTACTATTATTATTATTACTTTTGTCTTTTAATTATTATTCTTCCTGCTTCCCTTCCTAGGTTCTAGTTTTCAGCTATTTTTCTTCTCCCTGTTCCTGGTTCCAATTTTTATTTGTTTCTTGTGGTTCACCCATTTCTTGTTTAACTTTTAGCGTTTTTCCCATTTTTTTCGTCATTATTCTCCTTCTCTACCTTTTTTTCTCTTAGTGCCCTATCCCCAGATATTGCGGGGGGGGGGGGTTACCCCCTTTTTCCTTTTTTTGGTTACTGTTCCTGTGTGGTTCATGGTGTGTTTTTTGTCCATTTGCTTTTACTTATTTGATGATTATTCAATTCTTATTTTTCTCTAATTGAGTGGGAGAGAGCAACAATTCCCATAAAACACAACTAAACACACACCTCCTGCAGTTTCACTTACTGAGTGAGAGCCACCACTTCCTTCTCCACCAACGAGCCAACTATAAAAACCACCAAGAAAAGCCTGAATCACCCTTAGCTGCTTTTCACAAACAGTTAACAGAGCTCTAAATACAACAGTATCACAATGTCTCGCAGACAACAGACCACCACAGTCCACACAAAGAAGCAAGATAAAGTGGTAGAAACAAGAGAGCAGGATACAAAACCAGAACACATCCGTAAGGAAGAAGTAGCATTGGAACTCCCTGATAAAGAATTCAAAAGAATTATATTTAGTTATCTTCAAAGGATTGAGAGACAGACCAAGGAAAACACAGACAAAATCCTAGAAGAATTCTGGAAGAAAATACAAGAACAAAACGACAAAATAAATGAAAACTCAGAAATGATTCTAAATCTACAGATAGAAATCCAGAAGATTAATACTAAATTGTCAGAATTAGATAAGACACAATTGTCAGAATTAGATAACACACAGAGTGGACAAAGGAGTAGAATTGATGCAATTGAAAACAGAATTAATAAGATTGAAGACAAATACCTGAATATTTCTTTGGAAAGGGATCAATCAGAAAAAAGTCAAAAACAAAATGAAGAAAGCCTAAGGTTCATGTGGGATACCATCAAAAGGAATAACCTATGTGTCACTGGAATTTGGGAAAAGGAAGAGAAAAATAAAACCACTGAGAAAATTGTCCAATACTTGTTGGAAGAAACATCCCTGATATGATGAAAGATGAGAATATATCCATTCAGGAAGTCCAATAAACCCCAAACAGGATAGAACCCAAAAGAAAGTCACCAAGACATATCATCATCAAACTCTACAAAACCAAAGATAAAGAAAGAATTCTGACAGCAGCACGGGAAAAACAAAAAGTTATGTACAAAGGACAACCAGTAAGAATAAGATTTCTCAGCAGAAACCATGCAAGCAAGAAGGCAATAGGATGGTATATATAAAACCCTGAAAGAGAAAAATTTTCAACCAATAATTATATACCCGGCAAAACTGTCCCTCAAATATGATGGTGAAATTAGGAGATTTCCAGAGAAGCAGAAACTAAGGGAATTTCTTAAAACCAGACCAACCTTACAAGAGATACTAAAGGGAGTCCTTTGAATAGAGAACCAACAATAGCAAACAACAACTGACCATTAATACACAAGATGACATAACCCAGAAACCACAGCTATGGACATATCCAAAGTAAACTTAGCTTATAAGATTGTAAACAGGGAAAAAAGAGACATCAATTGGCAAGTGAGGACAACTACAAACCAAAAAGAGGGAAAATACTGTGTAGTTACAGAACTTCTAAATGGTGAGGAAGTCAAGAGAGTTACAAGATATAATGGACTGTTCTAAACACGGGAAGAATATTATAAATCACAGGGTAACCTTAAAGAAAAATTATAAACCTTCACATCACAATAAAAAAGAGGACAAGCACAAATATTCAGCAAATACTAAAGCAACAGCAACAAAGGAAATGACAATATGATTCATAAACATAATGAGCTCAGCACAGAAAATAATATGGAACAAAGAAAACATGGACACCATGAAAAAACACATAACAAAATGACAGCAACCAATTCATACTTGTCAAAAATTAACTGAATGTTAAGGGATTAAACGCTCACTCAAGCGATGGAGAGTTGCAGACTGGATAAGAAAATAAAACCCAGGGAGAGTTCCAGTAAGATGGCGGAATAGGCAGAAAGACTGCACAGACCCTCTTCAACAAAGAAAAGGGGAACCAATTAACACAGATACAGAAGATAATCCTGGACATCTGAGCCTTGAAGGGAAGGATAAAGAAGTGGACTAAACTCCAACTAGCAGAAGAATTTGCATGAAAACACCAAAAAAGGAGACATAAGGAGCTGCGGAGCTGCGTGACAGTGATCGTGAAGATACAGACAGCTTGGATATTCCTGAGTGGTGGTAGGACATAAGAATTAACCTAAAAATCAGCCCTGCTAGCCAGGGACTACACAGAGGACTGCTCTGGTGGCTAGTAAATAAAAGGGGAAGCAGTGAAGAGAAAAGCAGGTGAACTGTGGATTTTAGCCTGTCCAAAGGGTACAGCCATTTTGAATATTTACAAACAGTTTGACCATTTTTTCGATATTTAAAGTGACAGCGATCTTCCAGATTCCAGGGACTTAAGAACAGGCTCCACTTGCCAGAAACTGCAAGGTAATTCTGGAGATGGACGACTGGAAAGATGTGCTATTCCCCTTGTTACTCTTAAACCCCACACCCTCTTAGTGAATGGAGGTGTGGCCATCCCTCATTCCCACCCACCTTCTGGGCCAGCAGGAACTTCATCCCATTCTGTGTGCTCAGACGGAGGCTGGGTGCCCTGCCTCGCCTTGCCTGAATTTTTTTTTTTCTCTTTTTCAGTTTGTTTTTTTTTGTTAGTTTTACAACTACTGTTATTGTTATTACTTTTTCCTTTTTCACTATTATTCTTTATTCTTTCCCTCTCAGGATCTATTTTTCAGCTTTTTTTTTTTTCCCTGTCCCTGATTGCAATTTCTTTTTCTTTCTCATGGTTAATCCAATT